AACTGGAAATTCTGGAAAATACGTTCGTCATTCATTCCGTTTCAAATTTTCAATTTTCAAATTTTTTTTCATTTTATAGTTTTCACATTTAAATAATAATTTTAAATCTTATATTTTTTTAAATGAATTTAAAATAATTAAAATAAGTATTCATCAAATCTAGGAAATTCAGTAATGTTTATTTGCATTTGTATTTTCCGGATGTGTGAAAAAATTCTCCGCAAAACTTTTTGGTCTTTTAAAACGATTTTTGGTTTTTGATAGTGCACAACGTGTAAATACATTGATAAGGAGTAAAGATAAAAAAATCTGTGATAGTTGAATTTTATTACAAATTGAATTTTTATAGTTAAAAATCAGTTAATAAATTGATAACTGATAAAATAAATAACAATAAAATAGATAATAAAACATGAAAAAAAATTGCAATAAGCAAAAATGGCTGAAATAATTTCTTTTTCATATCTTTCAAAGCTCATATTCAAGTGACAATTAAAAAATTTATTTGGGCATTCATCTCTATTTAAATAATAAATATTGTAAGCGGAAGTAAATAAAAGAGAGTATAAAAAGATTACTGAAAGTGCTAAACAGTTTGTCTGAATAAAATATCGACAGTTGCAACTGATGATGTATTCCATTTATTTGCTATCTTTATTTTTTATTTCTTACGTAAATGCTGGAGATAGTGCGATTAAAGTATGCAACAAGGTGGTTCAGCCACCACCGGTTGCAGGAGTTGCAGCAGCTCAAGCACCTGTACAACGCCCAACCGTTAATCCAAATCTATGCGCCGATCTCAATCCAGAAGCGTGTCCAGCCATATTCACGTTGGTGGAGCAAGATACACTTCCAAACCAACTTGATCCGTAAAAACCGATTCTTTGCTTATTTAATTTATTTTAAGCAATAATCTATTTAATAAATTTAATAGATTTAATTTTATTATATTATTATAATATTATTATATAATAGATTATTATAAATAAAAATTTAAGAAAAGCGCCTTTAAAAATATTATTTAAAATAAGATACTTTACAAATTTTTCAGTTTTCCATAAAAATTTTACCTATTTACATAAAAAATTTACATAATAAATATCTTAAAAATTAATATTGTTCCATAAAATACGACAATTAAAGATTTATTAACTTTTTAATAATTTTTTATAAATTTATTATTATTATTAAAAGATTATAAAAAATAATAACAAACAAAATAAAAAGGTAGGAAAATGAGAAAATTAATCGTTTTAATCAATTTTTGATTGATTAATCACAATAATTTTTTAAAATAAATTTTATAATTTCATCTTTAATGTTTCTTTTCGAGATTTTTTCGTTCATTGAACTGCGACAATTATATAAGCAAGTGGATACCTCACATTTAGCTTTAAAAATGCAAAAATATTAACATTTCTTCAGAAGAGATATTTACATTTTCAGTAAAAAAATGAATTTTTGGTAAAAAATAGAAAAAAACCTATAAAATGAAAATAAAAATTTTATATAAAAATTTTATATAAATAAAATTATATAATTTTATATAAAAGTAAATTTTATATAAAATTAAAATTTTAAATGAAAATAAAAATTAACTAAGAATTGTTGCTTTTTCTACAGAAATGTTTTATTTCAGTGTAAAGGAATATAAAGTAAGCCAAAAATGTCAAGAAGCAAGTTATGCGCGCTTAGCCGAACAATTATGTCCTCGCACATGTGCAACATGCTGCAAAACAAGAAAGTTCAACTGCAGAAATGGTTTTATCTTTTTCTAAATATTCTTAAAAATTCGATAAGTTGAATTAATTATTAGCGTAATGAAATTTTCAGTTGGACAATGCGATAATTTTACGCAAGAAATGTGCAGAACGCCCGCTCTTAGCAAAATTGCATTAGAAATGTGCCCACATACATGCGGTCTCTGCGA